AAAAGAATATTCTAGAAGCTCTCCGTGAGCACCAGCTTCAAGCCCATACGGAATTGTGGAATTTCACCTAAACCCACATTGAATGAGGAGGAGAACGAAACACTATTTATAAGGGTGTGGAAATCTTTCCCTAGCAGACGCGTTATAAAATTTTGAGAGAAAGTTCAAAAGAGACAATATCTACTAGCGGTGAGCTTAGACAATGTTATAAATGGTATCAGAGCTAGATATCGGGCGATGTGCTAGCGAGGAGGTTGTTTCTAAAGAGGTAGACATGAGGTGATATGCATACCATTTATTATTTTTTTCAAAAAAAAAACATAAAAATAAAATAAATTAAAACTAACGGTTTAATTCATTTAATTTTTGCTACATTTTCCATCGTAGTCAAACCCATTGACAAAGGAAATTGGTTGTAAGTTACCAAATCTTTAAATTCATTAAATTCCATATTTTTTATAAATAAAAAATAAAAAAATATCCAGCTGGCCATAGTTATAGAGATTTATACGAAAAAGTTGACTCATATACCCTCAAACCATCCCTCTATGTAAGGGCAAACATGTCTTTTAGTATAAATATTTAATTAATTTATTTTTTAAAAATATTTTTCCTCCTTTCTCCCAAGATCTAGAAATTACGTAAGTTTTACATTCCAATTAGGTATTTTAAAAAAATGACAATTTAATTTATTTATTTTCTAATTTGTTTTTTTAATAAATAATAATATTTTATTTTAATATTTATATCAATAAAATCAGTTTTAAAAATAATAATATTGAATTCAAACATATTCAATAAAATTTCAAATTAACCAACTTACTAAATATAAAATCGTACAATTATATCTATATATTTATTTATTTTTATAATTATTTATTATCCCATAACTATTTTAAATAACATTTAATTATTTAAAAGATAATTTTTTAAAAACATATTTAAATTTAGTTATAAATTTTTATTAAACGTTTGGAAATAAATGAATAGGTGTGAATTATTAATTAAGTCTAAAATAATAAATTAATTTTAGTGGCATGAGTAAATATAATTTTGAGAGAAGGGCAAAATAGGAAAGGGGTAAAGTTGTCAATTCCGAGACATATTATTTGTCCGTACGGCGTTTACGGAATCAAAGTAAATGAGTCAAACTTCGAATTTTGAACAGTTGACCACTTTGCATCATGTTCATATTTATCTTATAATTATTTTTTAAATTATATAAAAAATTCAAGTTAATCCTTTTTTTTTTTTTAATATCAAATTAAAATAATCCCTTTTCTGACCTTTTATAATTAAGAAAAACCAAATTTGGAATGGGAATCCAATAATGATTTGATTTTTTTTTAAAGAAATGTAAATTAAAATATTTTTTATTTTATTGATTTAAAAATCATAACTCGAATATATTTTGTTTTGATCCTAAACGATTGATTTAATTCTTATAATAAATAATTGTACGAGATTAAGGGTATTTTTGTAATTTTTTAATTAATAATATACAATAAATAATAAAATGATTATTTTTTCTGCTAGAGTATAAATCATAATAAAATTAATATAAGCATAGTTTAATATTTAAAATATTTCATTTTTTTCTTCGATCCGTAAACAACCTTAAATACTATACTGTGAGGAAACATTATTTATAAGGGTGTGAAAACCTCTCCCTAATATACGCGTTTTAGAAGCCCGAGTAAGCACAAAGAGGACAATATCTGCTAGCGGTGAGCTTGAGCTGTTATATATATAGGTTAGATAGTATTGTTACGCTCGAGAGGTATATAAATATATAATAATAAAATTATTAAATGGCCCAAATAATAAAAAGAAATTAATTATTTATTTATTAATATTTGGGTGAGACAATGGAATGAGGAGAAAAGGTGGGGATTGTACAAATAAGGATTACTTGAGTGTACCCTAACCTCCTATCCAAACAAGGGGTCACTCGTGCTGTTTGGGAAATTTGTTGGTTTTTTGGGGACATTTTTAAAAATTAAATTATTTGTAGGGCCATTTTTCATAATTACAATATTTCATGGGTTAATTTGCATTCAAAACCTTTGAATCCTTTGCCTTTTTGTCCCTATCAATTCATAATATCTAATACGGATATTCATATGATTCGATAATTCGATCAATTCAGATTACTCAACTCAATCCCGGGCTAGACTTTTTTTTATTTAGCTTGAGTTGGGTTAAACTTTTTTTTATTTATTTAACCGGACCGAACCCCACCATACTTTTTTAAAAATTAAGAATATTTAATATTTGTAGCGACGATGACTAAGTTAAGTGAGAGAGAATGTCACAATTGAAGAAAGTAGTTTGTGACCCTCATGTCATGACAAGCAAAGCGGCGTCCCTCAAGAGATGCCCATTCGGCTACATGCGGGCCAATATAGAAGAGTGTCATGATGCGATCGAGGAGGACGGTGCATCATCCAACACATCACCATGCGAAATGGGCGTTGAAGACAAGTTGAGACATAAATAAGACAAAGACATCGAATAGACAAGAGGGGCAAAGATAAGCTTGTTGAAGGCCCGAAACGTGATGCGTTGTGACTTATAAATGTTTGATATTTGAACTTTTACTGCATATGGAAGTGAAGGGAAGTTTTGCTTTTTGTTAATTTATAGGCCATAAAAAATAAAGACTTCAAATTTATTGAAAAATATTTAATTTTCTTTTTGTTTACACTTTTTTTCTTAGTCATATCTTTAATAATAAAAAAATAATAATTGCTTGCAATAATTGAGACTTCAATCATCATGACTCAATAAAAAAAGGGAAATTTTAAAGAATCTATAAAAAAAAAATTATTATTCAAAGGAATAATTTCAAATATAATTAGATTTTCTCGGGAAAGCCCAAAGAAGACAATATTTATTAGTGGTGGACCTGTCCGTTACAAATGGTATCAGAACTAGACACCATACTATGTGCAAACGAGGAGGCTGCTCCTTGAAGAAGGTAGATGCAAGACTGTGTGCTAGTAAGGACGCTGGATCACGAAGAGGGGTGAATTGTGATATCTCACTTTGGTTGGGGAGGAGAACGAAACATCCTTTATAAGCGTGTGGATACCTGGGCCGTTACAAATGGTATAAGAGCCAAACACCAGACTATGTGCCAAAGAGAAGGCTTACCTCGAAGGGGGTAGACACAAGACAGTGTGCCAGTAAGGACGTTGAATACCGAAGGGAGGTGGATTGTGATATCCCACGTTGGTTGGAGAGAAGAACGAAACATCCTTTATAAGCATGTAAATAAGGATGTTGGGTCCCGAAGGGAGTTGATTTTGATACCCCACATTGGTTGGGAGGAGAACGAAACATCATTTATAAGTAAATTAAATAAATAAAAATAAAAGACATTCTTTATCGGCCCTTTCCTTAAGTGAAAACCAATCCCATTTTTAAGAATTCAAAACCCGACTTTCAATGATTCCGAGCTCGAATTCAAAGGTAAAAGTGAGCTTGACTGTAAGACCCACATGTAAAACCGGGACGCAAATCAGCTTTAGTGCTCCGATGGTATAATAGTTTTTATTCATTTTTAGAATTTTTTCAATTTCGTCTTTAATAAATTATATAATTTATTGTCCAAATTTTAAAAAATTGGTAGAAATTTTAAATTTTATTTTTTGTAGACAAACTTTTTCCCCAAAATTAACATTAACTGATAAGTAAATTTAATAATATTAATAGATTCCTTAAACAAAAGTGATTAAGTTGAACATTACGGATTAAAAATATAAATTAAATTATTAATTTAATACCTGAACTTTAAATTTTATATTTAATAAGCTTTTGAACTTAAAAAAAATATTATGTCCACTTAAATAAATTTTTTAAAATTTAATTTAATATGTTAAAAATATTAAATAATTAATGTAACGACCCAAGCTCACCTCTAGTAGATAATGTCTTATGCGCCCGAGAGGTTTTCACACCCTTATAAAGGGTGTTTTTGTTAGGGAGAGGTTTCCACATCCTTGTAAAGGGTGTTTCGTTATTGTCCCTAACCGATGTGGGATCTCACAATTCACCCCCTTCAAGGTCCAACGTCCTTACTGACACACCGCCTCGTGTCTACGCCTCGAACGTGGAAATCCTTATAAAGGGTGTTTCGTTCTCCTCCCCAACCGATGTGGGATCTCACAATCTACCTCCTTCAAGGTCCAGCGTCTTTGCTGACACACCGCCTCGTGTCTACGCCTCGAACGTGGAAGTCCTTATAAAGGGTGTTTTTGTTAGGGAGAGGTTTCCACATCCTTGTAAAGGGTGTTTCGTTATTGTCCCTAACCGATGTGGGATCTCACAATCCACCCCCTTCAAGGTCCAACGTCTTTACTCGCACACCGCCTCGTGTCTACGCCTCGAACGTGGAAATCCTTATAAAGGGTGTTTCGTTCTCCTCCTCCACCGATGTGGGATCTCACAATCCACCTCCTTCAAGGTCCAGCGTCCTTGCTGACACACCGCCTTGTGTCTACGCCTCGAACGTGGAAGTTCTTATAAAGGGTGCGTAGGGTGTTTCGTTCTCCTCCCCAACTAATATGAGATCTCACAATCCACCCCTTCGAGGTCCATCGTCCTTGTTGGCACACCGCCTCAAATGTTCTCAATTTTGTAACGGCTCGTGGATATTCGAGACCCTCTTACTGGCACACCACCTCATGTCTACCCTTCAGGGCTCAGCTTCTTCACTAGCACATGTCTCAGTGTCTAGCTCAAATACCATTTGTAACAACTAAGTTGAGAGCATGAGCTTTAACTCAAGATTTGTAAGGCTAAATTTGTAATTTCACAAATATTTATTTATTTATTTTTGTATAATTGTCACATTGTTGGAAGTGGTGGTTGGCTGGCTGTTTCTTTCTTCCTACTTTCAAAGGGCACCACTGTTCCTGCCAGTGGATTAACGTGCTCTCTCTCTCTCTCTCTTAATTGAATTAATTATTATAATAATTAATTCTTTTTTTTTTTTTTTTCAATCTTCATCTTCTCCGCTCAGTCACTCGAAGAGGGTTATGCAAAAAAATATTGGTTCATTTTATAAAATCCCTCTTCTCTCTCTTCCTCTCTCTCTCCTCCTTGTAGAGCGTGTGTTCATGAGCTAATGAACAACCCTTTTCGATTTCCATCCTATTAAACAAGATTCAACAGCTCTGATGTTGAAAAATTTTGTATGAACACAAGAAAACAATGGATGGTTTCTCAGATCTTGAGCCCGATTGCTCTGAATTCGTTGAAATTGATCCCACTGGCCGATATGGCAGAGTACGTTTCCTTATCTCTTTCTCTGTATTGTGTTCATGTTTTTCCCCTTTCATGATTTTGGGTTTTGTTGTTTGTTGCAGTATAATGAAATTTTAGGAAAAGGGGCTTCAAAAACAGTGTAAGAACATGATTTCTTGCATTTTATGAGCTTCCCATTACATTAATTTCTGGAAATCTGTTCTTCTTTTGAAGATTGTTGATGGGTTTTTGTTTGTTTGTTCGTTTGTTCTTCATTTGGGTTTTTGTAGTTACAGAGCTTTTGATGAGTATAATGGAATTGAAGTAGCTTGGAATCAAGTGAAACTCTATGATTTCTTGCAAAGTCCTGAAGATCTGGAACGACTTTACTGTGAGATTCATCTTTTGAAGACATTGAAACATAGAAATATTATGAAATTCTACACTTCTTGGGTTGATATTGCTAATAGAAACATCAATTTTGTTACTGAAATGTTCACTTCTGGTACTCTTAGACAGTAAGTATCTGATGAACTTGGATGATTTTCAGTCATTTCTGGTCATTTTGGTATCTGGGTGTTGTTTTTTTGACTGTTTTTTGGCAAATTTTGGTGGGGTTTTGTTCTTTAGGTATAGGTTGAAGCATAAACGAGTTAATATTAGAGCTGTGAAGCATTGGTGTAGGCAGATTTTGAAGGGGCTTCATTATTTGCATAGCCATGAGCCTCCTATCATCCATAGAGATCTCAAGTGTGATAATATCTTTGTTAATGGTAATCAAGGGGAGGTTAAGATTGGTGATCTTGGACTTGCTGCTATTCTCAGGAAATCTCATGCTGATCATTGTGTAGGTATGGTTTTGGATTTCGGCTTTCGAAAACTTTATTTGTTTCGGTATTGTTCGGTCTTGGAGTTCAGTTTGTTTAGCTTGTGATTGTGGTGTCGAACGATCTCTATCATCCCCCTCGAAACTCTGTTCATTTCGGGGGTTGTTTAGCTTACAAGTTGGATTTGTTTAGCGTGAGTTATGTGGGTTTTCTTATCTCGAACTATTGGTTAGCTAACCCCACGTACTCTGTGAATTTGTGCATCTAGAACCACTTGTGAGATCGCACGTTGGTTGGAGAGGGGAAACCTCTCCCTAACAGACGCGTTTTAAAACCTTGAGGGGTGTAGGCTGAAAGAGAAAGCCCAAAGAGGACAATATTTGCTATGAGTTTGGGGCATTGGGCAGTGTGCCAACGAGGATGCTGGCCCCCAAGAGGGGTGGATTGTGAGATCCCACATCGGTTGGAATGGAGAACGAAACATTCCTTATAAGAGTGTGGAAATCTTTCCCTGACAAACACATTTTAAAATCTTGAGGGGAAGCCCGGAAGGGAACGTCCAAAGAGGACAATATCGGCTAGCGGTGGGCTTGGGCTGTTACAAATGGTATCAGAGCCAGGCACGGGACAATGTGCCAGCGAGAACGTTGGGCCCCAAGGGAATGGATTGTAAGATATAAATCCAGAAGTAGATATTTGTGATATGAGAATTCTTATTTTGAAAGTAGGTAAAATTGTAAGAGTTTTTCATAATGTGTTATAAATTCTCAGGAACACCAGAGTTTATGGCTCCAGAAGTGTATGCAGAAGCATATAACGAATTAGTCGATATTTACTCATTCGGGATGTGCGTTCTCGAGATGATAACGTTCGAATATCCATACAGCGAATGCACTCATCCTGCTCAGATCTACAAGAAAGTCGTATCCGTAAGAATCTCTCTGTAAACGTGTTTTAGAAGCTCGTGTTCGTGTTCATATGCTCGAGATTAATCCGTTATGTTGTGCGTTTTCAGGGGAAAAAACCAGACGCCTTGTACAAAGTGAAAGATCCCGAAGTGCGACAGTTCATCGATAAGTGTTTGGCATCGGTTTCATTTCGACTCTCGGCAGCACAGCTTTTGAGTGATCCTTTCCTTCAAGTCGATAATGGCGAATATGATCTAAGACCTGTCAATTACGGGAGAGGATTCGACGATGTATGCCCTCTTATAAGACGTGACAGCTCCTTTTGTAATGGATATCCATATGATTATAGTTTCGAAGCTTCGAGTGAATCGGGTTACCATCCGATTGATCACGAAACCAATGGAATCGAGCTTTTCGAGTATTATGAAGGTGAACATTCTGAAGATGTTGATATTAGCATTAAAGGGAAGATGAGAGAAGATGGTAGCATCTTCTTAAGACTCAGAATTACTGATAAAGAAGGTAGAAATTTCTTCACTTTTTGTTAACTTCGAAAACATCGGTTGCGATCCGATGATGAATCTAAACCGGTTTGTTTACAGGACTTATTAGGAACATTTACTTCCCGTTCGATGTCGAGACGGATACAGCATTAAGCGTTGCAACAGAAATGGTAGCGGAGCTAGATATTACAGATCAAGACGTGACGAGAATTGCTGATATGATTGACGGAGAAATCGCTTCCTTGGTTCCCGAATGGAGACCAGGTCCGGGAATTGAGGAAACGCCTCGTTTTGCTTGTCATAATTGTGCTACTACTTCTTACAACAATGCTTCATCAAATGGTCTTTCATTGAGGAATCCTGGTGGAAAAAACTTGGACCTAGCTCAATGTTGTGGACATCGATATGCTTCAATACACGGTCGTTTCGAGGAGATAATGTATCAAGCTGATGAATCCGAGCATCATCCAGTAGAGGGTGCACCGAATATATCAAGCTTGAATTATCCTGAAATATGGGGACGTCACGAAAGCCGTGAACTTAGCTCAATGAGCTCACGACACAGCCACTCGGATGAAGATTACGAGAAAACAGATCGACCAAGTATGGTCACGGATGCGAAAGAAACGATCATGGAAAGTAAAACCGCTCCTAATACGAGAACGTCGCTTAGGGACCTGATGAATTCCCTTTCTTTCTTGGAAATGCCTTCGTTATATGAGCCTCGAGATATCGATGAAAATGATGCCCAGCAAGAACTGAGATGGATTAAGGCAAAGTACCAAATGGAATTAAACAAGCTCAAAGAACAAAAAATGGAGAATGGGACACTGGTAGGCCACGACCAAACCCTCGACTGGTCCGATCGAGATACGAACCGAAATAGTACCGAGAGCCATGTTTATATCAGTAATAGCTGTTACGGTTCAGATGCTCGGAAGGTCGTGGAATCGCCTGTCGTGGAGAAGGTTGTCACGGCTAAAAATGCCTGTAATGGTTCATTGCTTCCAAGCTCTCTTCATAGAGCAATCTCTCTACCGGTTGATGCTGTTCATATGTAACAATGTGTAAGGCCACTCCTTGTATTCTTTTATGGATTCTATACACTAAAACAAGTCAAATAAATATATCACATTCACCATTTCTTTAATGAAACCAAAAGGGTAGAGAAAAGAGTGCCGTGAGGCTATAACGTCATGCCTCACGGGTAAGAGTTGTGAAGTCGAGTATGCTCTCGAGTAAAATCATGACCTAAACGTTCTTTTACGAGACATTTTTAGTGATCCTTGTATCGTATAATGTAAATATACTTGAAAGAATCAATGGGTTGTGTTGGTTTAAAAACGTTTGAGCTCTACCTCTGGTCCTACAAATCATGTAACAGCTCAATTCCACTGTTAACAAATATTATCTGCTGTGGCTCGTTACGTATCGCTGTCAATTTTACGATTTTAAAACGCATCTATTAGGGAGAGGTTTCCACACCCTTATAAGGAATGTTTCATTTTCCTTGCCAACCGATGTGGGATCTCAGCGTTCTCATTGGCACACTGTTCGAAACCTGACTCTAATACCATTTGTAATAGCTCAAGCCCACCGCTAGCAGATATTGTTTGTTTTGATTCGCGTCTATTAGGGAGAGGTTACCACACCCTTATAAGAACTATAAGGAATGTTTCGTTCCCTTATTTAACCAATGTGGGATCTTATAATCCACCCCCTTTGGAGACCAACATTCTTGTTGGCACACCGTCCAGTGTCTGCCTCTGATATCATTTGCAACAGCGCAACCCTACCATTAGCAGATATTGTCCGCTTTGACCCGTTATGTATCACTGTCAACCTCACGATTTTAAAACGTGTCTATTAAGAAGAGATTTCTACATCCTTATAAGAAATGCTTCATTTTCATCTCCAACCGATGTGGGATCTCATAAGTCAAAGCTGAAATTGGGTTCGGTTTTAGTGTTTCGGTTGGAATTGTGTTTCGTTTTAGGTTAAAAAGGGCTATGCTTTTGTATTTCTTCCTTTTTTTTTTTTTATGTGGCCATGCACACACTTTTATCCTCACAACGTTTATCCACATCACTTTACAAGATCATTCCACCTTTTGTGTATGGTCCACATAATGACCTCATTTACACTTTGGAGCACTTTGCATTACCTCTGCCCCACATGATGATAAGAATCCTAATTCATAAAGAAACATAAAGTCGATTGACGATGACAATCACGACAAGTTAACCTCACGATCTCACGAGCCGCTTTCAAAATCGTGAGCTCAAAATTGTAAATGATAATCACCCGTTCCACTCGTTCATGATATATTGTACATGCATTGTGTGTGATCTCACATCAGCTAGAGAGAAAAACAAAACATTATTTTACAGGGGTGTGAAAATCTCTCCCTAACATACGTGTTTTAAAAACTTTGAAGGGAAGCCCGAAAGAAAAAACCCTAAGAGAACAGTATCTGTTAGTGGTGGGCTTAGACCGTTACAAATGGTATCAAAGTCAGATACCGGGCGATGTGTCAGTGAGGTGACTGAACCCCGAAGGGAGGTAGACACCAGGTGGTGTGCCAGCAATGACGCTGGGCCTCAAAAGGGGGTGGATTGTGAGATCCCACATCAGTAGGGGAGGAGAACGAAACATTCTTTATAAGAGTGTTCAAACCTTTTCGTGGTAGATGCATTTTAAAAACCTTGAGAGAAAACCGTAGAGGGAAAACTCAAAGAGGACAATATCTTCTAGTGGTGGGCTTGGGCTGTTACACGTTGTATTTGTTTTTTGATACCAAAAGTTGTCTCGTGATACGAGTCGTAGGAATATCACATTTGTAAAAAAAGTCGTCCATTCATCTTATAAATCGTTTCAAACTATAATTGTGGTTTAAAAAAGAGACGTGCTCGTGATAACTTTGATTATGTTGTTAGCTGTACGAAAATTCAGGGTTTGCTTTGCACGCTAGCTTGCTTGTTTAACTAAGAGAGGGGTGACTTGCATTATTGTCACATCAAAAATACATATTATAATATAATGATATTAACTTTATGTTATAATAAGGACCATATCATATAACTTTAAAAAGGAAGCCATTGGGAAGGTTCAATATCTACATTAATTATTGATTAAAGATAATAATCATGTACTTTAGATCAAATCTTAATTAAATAATACATTTAACTTTTCAAGCCATTAATTAAATTATTTAAAAAATGAAAAAGAATCCTTTTTTATAATTATTAAGTAATTAATAAATTTGACCCAATTACCTTATTTTTAATTTTGTTTATTTGACCATTTTATTTAAAAAATGTTAGTTTTTTTTTTTCTTTTATTACACGCCAAAAAAAAGTTATTATAATGGAAAGAAATCTCATTTTAAAATAATTTAATTAAAAACTATTTGGACTTTTATCATTGACCATCTTACGTGGAAAATGAAAGTTTTTTTTTTTTTTTTTTGAACTAATTCGAAATTTAGGGTTAGTTAGGTCGGTGAACGGAAGAGATTAATAGAGTTTATAACCCAACACTCGAGCAACAACACAACTTCTTGTACTCAACAAGGTTTCGTCATTAAACCCCGTCAACATCCATCCTTAAGCCAGCTCAAATTAGGAGGCAACGTTGCAACATTTCATGCTCAACGAGACTCATGTTGCATGCCCGAATGCACTCGACTCTGCCCCACGATGCACGTTTCACCACCACGCCGCTGTCAAACTCCCAAAGACATTCGACTTTATTTTCTGGTTCGGTTGGATTGAGTTGTCAAGTTTTTTTAAAAAAATTATTTAAAAAATCATGTTTATTCACGGTACATATTACATTAATAATTGAAATCTCATAAAACTCAAATATCAAACATTCATAAGTCATAATGCATCACTAACGTCAGTTACAACATAAAATATTTTAAATCTTCATAATAATATTAAAAGTATGGCAAGGTAGGTTGAGTTATAAACTAATTTTCGGGTTTGTCAAGTTGACCTAACAAAATAATGTCAACCCATGAACCGACTTAGGTAGTCTAACCAAACCCAATATTTATAGTTCGGGTTAGGTAGTCTGGATTGGTCGAGTTTTTTTGATGATATGAACACTCAATCCTATAAGAAAACGTTGTATCAAACACAAATATTCCTAAAAAAAACTTATTTGATTATGAACGAGAAAAATATAGTTCAAACGATTAATATAGCAAATAATCTCTTACCCGATAGTTATATGCATTAAGTCGTTGTTGTTGCGTTTTACTTATATTCCCATATAACACAAATTTCAAATTTTCAAATTTTCAAATTTTGCTTTCGGAGTCTCTCTGCCCCCGTTTTCTAAAACTTTCTTCTTGAACCGAGACTAAAGGCTCGAGCTTATGTCGCTTGGCTGTAGGCGATGCAAGAACGAATAAGCTTAACTCACTTGTTGCTGGAACAATCGCAAGTCCGCTACCAACAAAGTTATTGTAATATATTTTTATAATTAAAATAGTATATAATATTTGAATAAGAAGATTGGGTCAAAATAGTGGATTTATTTTATTTATTATTTAATTTAATTTAATTTAATTTTTAGAAGTGGATTTACCTTTAAAATTCTTTCACTTTATACTTTTCGAAAGGAAAAATAATATTCTTTTATTTCCTTACAACTCTCTTCGATTATAATTATTATTAATTTTAATAATTATATCATGTATTAAAAAAATTTATTTATTTTTGATAATTTATTATTATAATAATTATTATTAAAATAAGCTAGAAAAATATTCGTTCTTTCAATATTCCATTACTATTATAAATAAATAAAAAGTTACTAATAGTATTAAATATTACATCACTTTCCTAAAAAGAAATTTAATTGTGATCGACGATAATTATTAATTACTTAATAAAGAAAAATCGAGACCATTCTTTTTAAGATAATGGACTTTACTTCTATCAGGTCAGTGTCGAGGAAGAGTACACCAATTGGTTGGCTATGTAAAAAGAGAGTAGGCTAGATGAGAACTTTCAGACCGAGAATCACGAAGATGTTGACTTTGTGATGTGCCATACGATATCAGAATTGCTTCAATTCCTCCCTTTTGATGTGATGGAATTATTGACGTGTAATTATAATATAGCTATTATAACGAAGTGCTATTGATAATGGGATGGGGAGGAGAATGAAACACTCTTTACAAGGGCGTGAAAACCTTTCTATAGCAGACGCATTTTAAAGCCTTGAGGGGAACCCCAAAAAGAAAAGCCCAAAAGGACAATATTTACTCGTGGTAGGCTTGTGTCATTACAAATGGTATCAAAGTCAAACACCAGGCAATCTGTCAACGAGGAGGTTGTTCTCCATAGGGAGTTAGACACCGGGCAATGTGCCAGCAAAAAGGTTGTTCCCCATAGGAGGTTAGACACGAGGCGGTGTGCCAATAAGGACGTTAGGCCTTGAAGCGGGGTGGATTTGGTGGGGGTCCTACATCAATGCGAGAAAGGAACGAGTGCCAACAAGGACGCTGGACCCTAAAGGGGTGTGGATTGTGATATCCCACATTGATTACGGAGAAGAATGACGTTTCCCTCCTACACCGCTAGGGTGGACCTCAACAAAATAAATAAAATAAAAAGCCCAAAAATACGAGGCCCAAAGGCTTTAAAATCCAAAAGCCCAAACCAATTTAGAAAAGCCCATAGGAAATAAAAGCTCAAAAATATGAGATCCAATAACTTGTGGTCCCAATTAGATCAATGAAAATAAGGCCCAAAATCTTCAAAACCCAAAAGCCCAAACCCATTCTGAAAAGCCCATAGGAAATAAAAAAGCCCAAAAATATGAGGTCCAATATATTTTGGGCCCAAATAGATGAATGAAAACAAGGTCCGAAAGCTTAAAAATCCAAAAGCCCTAATCCATTCTGAAAAGCCCATAGAAAATAGAAAAGACCGAAATAAGATTCAATAACTTTTGGGCCGAATTAGAACACTAAAAACCAGGCCCAATAGCTTAAAAGCCCAAAGACAACTATTTATGCAAAGCCCATTGCAAATAGAAAAGCCCAAATGAGGGCGAACAACTTTTAGGCCCAATTAGAACAAAGAAAACGAGGCCCAAGCGCTTCAAAATGCCGAAGCCCTAACACATTTTGAAATGCCCAAAATAAGATCAACAACTTTTGGGCCCAATTTGAACACTAAAAAGCCCAAAACCCTAACCCACCAATGACTTTATTAACCAACTAGGGTTTTGATATCCAGTCTTTTTATCATCCCGACTCAGGTTAAGAGCTGCCGTTTCTCTGCGCCTTCGCCCTTCCAAGAGCTTCAAGCTTTCCATCCTCTTCGGGGCACATTCAGTCATGGCGGACAAGGCAGTCACTATCCGGACCAGGAAGTTCATGACCAACAGGCTCCTCTCCAGGAAGCAATTCGTAAGTTTCTCAGATCGCACACCTTCGTTCTTGATTTCCGCACTCCTGTTCTTTTAGGCCTTGATGTTGTGTGATCCCATGGCGTTTGATTCTTGTGTGGCGATGTTAACTTGTTTTTTTATTTCGTTTTTGGTTTTTGAGTTTGGAGTTTGTTAGTTCGTGGATTCTGGTGTGGTACTGAAGTGGATGAGTTGCATTTGTTTGACGCTGTAAAGGGTTCTCTTATGTTTAATCGAAAACCTTAATGTCGTTAATGAATCTGAAGTTTTTCGTTTCTTAATTACTTGGAGCTTAGGGTATTTAGTGCTTGCCACTTTTACGACCGTGGTTGCTTTAGTGCTGGTGATTTTTGTTCCTTGGTAGCTCAGAGACTCCTGTTTGTTTAATATTTTGATGGGGGTTGGAAGAGATTTTGAAGTCGTTTATAACCTGTTGTCCCATGTTTATTTCAGGTCATTGATGTTCTTCACCCAGGCAGACCCAATGTCTCAAAGGTAAATCCTTTTTCGATTCAATTTCCTTTTTCTTTTTGGTTGAATTTATGTTATTTTACTAAAGTAATTGTCTTTCATATGTGCAAAATTCTTTAGAATACAACATGAATCTCATTAATTATTTCTATCAGGTACCTTTGCTTGTCTTTGAATATTATAACTAATACTAATTTTTATACACTCGTTGCTTACTTCATGCTCCTTTTGGTAATTTCCGAAGTTTCATTGAAATGGTGATATCTGAACTTTTCTGTGAAGCTTATGAAATTAAAGAGTATAGTAATGGCATCCATGATGCTTAATTCTTTTGCATTGTGGCATATGTTGCTCATCATGTGATATGTTTCTATATCTCGCTCTGAAGGCTGAGCTGAAGGAGAAGTTGGGCAGAATCTACGACGTGAAAGACCCAAATGCCATCTTTGTTTTCAAGTTCAGAACTCACTTTGGTGGTGGAAAATCTACCGGGTTCGGTTTGATCTATGATTCTGTTGAGAATGCCAAGAAGTACGAACCAAAGTACAGGCTGATCAGGGTAATTTACTTTCTCCCTCTAAACCAAAATTCAATAATTAAACTCGACATTACTCAAACTCAACCGTTTTTCTTTTTTCAGAACGGACTCGACACCAAGGTAGAGAAGTCAAGAAAGCAAATGAAGGAAAGGAAGAACAGGGCCAAGAAAATCCGTGGAGTTAAGAAGGTAAGTAAACATTCATAGCTAGTCGACGAGATCTCGAATGATGAAACATTACTATTAACCACTTGTTGATGTCTTTTTACAGACCAAGGCTTCAGATGCTGCCAAGGCAGGAAAGAAGAAATGAGGATGCTGGAGTTTTGTGCTTATCACCAAGGATCGTCTGCAGAATTGGGTTGCTTTCTTTTTAATAGTCTCTTTTAGTTTTCGTTTTATTACTCCTAAATGAAGTTATTATGTTAATCAGTGATTTGGTTGATGGTGACTAGTGATATCAAAACTTGTTCAACATTTTTGACGTTACAGTTAATATATTTCCTTGCTTTTCCATCTCTTGGCTGACCCATTTGAGGTTGTTCATAGTTGGTAGATTATGAAAATTGTTTGTGGGATATTTCATGTCTTCAAAATTTAAATCATAGATTATTTTAGCTTGGGTTTGCATGTTAGAATTTATGTCAATCCAACCAATAGGCCTACGACTCAACTCTATCTTACTTTTAGAAAGATAAAGAAGTGTAATGTTTGTAATAATTGTGATGCTCTCCCATATATTGGGACACATCTGCCTTGTTGGTTTACTCGGACACCTGTTGGGGATCAAATGACAATGGCTCGGACACATCTGTTGGGGATCAAAATGACAATGAAATGCGATGTTGTGTCTCGATGTGTGTGGTTTGAACAAGCTTGGATTCTGCACAAATGTTGTTTGGTTGGCGAAGGCAAATCTTGTTGAGGTTTTATGAAACCACATAGTTGGGTTAAAAGTGAATATGGGGACAAATTTGGGTTAAAAGTAAACATGGGGTTTGAGTTTCTTTAATGCTGATTGTGTCAATATCGTGACTTTAAAGACGGACGAAATTGAGTTGGATTAAGTTACGTTGGGACACCAATTGAATCCAACTTGAAACCACAAAGTTGGGCTAAAAGTGAATATGGGGTTTGAGTTTCTTTAATGCAGATCGTGTCAATATCATGACTTTGAAGAGGTATGAGGTTGAGTTGGATTACGAAGTCACTTGAGACACCAATTGAATCCAACCCGAAACCACAAGGTTGGGCTAAAAGTGAATATGGGGTTTGAGTTTCTTTAATGCTGATCGTGTCAATATCACGACTTTGAAGAGGTACGAGATTGAGTTGGATTACGAAGTTACTTGGGACACCAATTGAATCCGAAGTTACTTGGGACACCAATTGAATCCAACCGGAAATTGCATTGCACTCAAATACGTTCTTCATACCAAATGAATATAAACAAATGTACTTTTTTAAAATTTGTTAGAGAATTAATAGGTACAGCCATTAATGTACAAGTTCTAAGGTTAAGATTGTAAATTATATTCATAAACATTGTAATTTAGCCATTATTATCGTTATTTTTACTTTCTTCTTTCTTTGATCTCAACTGTTCTAATGAAACCCTAATTTCTTCCTGCACCAATTCCAATCTCTTCAAATAAACCTCCATTTCCAACTCTTGCTGCTTCCGCCATCGCTCCTCCCCGGCCTCTCCCCCGCCGCAATTTGGAATCCTCCCGGCGAGTCCAACCGGCGGCCATCCGTTACTAATCAACTCCTTGAATAACGGCGACAGGCATCCCCTCGCCACCTCCTCAACCAATCCTGAAATTTTTCCGATATCGTCGACTATACTGTTCGTCCTTGCCGGAATCTCGTTCGAATTGCTCGCTTCGCCCGAGAGATATGCCGTGCGTCGCCGTTTTGTTAATTGCTGATAATCTTCTCCCTCTTCGGATTCGTCTTCTTCGAGGTTCTCTGTTTTCACCTGGATTTCGATGAAGTTAGGATTAATGTCCGCGAGGACTTCGTCTAGAATGCTATCTTCTACCGACGTTTGCTTTTTTCCGGAATTTCGGCCCCAAATTTTTCTCGAAATGTCGAAGGTCGATCTCTCGTGGATGCTTTTGAAAGCCGGTTTCTCGCCGCAATCGATCTTACTCGAAGTGATTTGGTACTTCCTTCTCAATCTCCGAAGCTTGTCGAGTAATTGATTCTTACCGCAACAAAGCTGAATTTTCGGTTTGATTTTACGATAGAACGCGGCGGCGTCTTGCTGCTGAAGACGATGGGGAGAAATTCGATTCTCCGACGCAAACTCAAGAAAACTACGCAAGAGCTGGATTTCATCTTCATTGGTCCAGACAGTGGCTCTCCGCCGTGGCGGAACAGCAACGGTAACGATATTGTTCGGTGCATTGGCAGGGATAGCGACCACAGACGGAATGCGATCGTCAATTGGAGAGAAACTATTGGTTTTAGATTGACGTAAATCCGCGGCGTCTGTTTCATCGGAAACGCCATCCGAAACCGCGGCGTTTTGTCCATTGTTATGTGCATCTTCTCGGTAAGAATCGGCCTGGAATTCCTCGTCCTCCTCATTCAGCGGCGTTCCAGGTTCATCATCAGAGATTCCATGTTCATCGGAGGGTTGAGAATTTTGGTCTTCTTCCATGGAGGAGGAGGAAGAAGAAGAGAAAATCCAACCAGAAAGCGGCCATGTCATGATGAATTTTCTTCAAACAAATGGAAGATTGGGGTTCAATTTCGGGTTTTGTAATCTGCAGAAGAACAATTGATCGAGTTTTTCGCCTGGTTTTAGAGGTAATCATCAATTTCTCTCATTTCTTTTCATTGATTTCAATTGATTTTGAGGATTTTGGGATAGAATTTAAGGATATGAATAGTTCCTATATTGCTGGTCACAAATGGTTAGGTATTTTACAAGTGTTTGATTATTGTTCTTATTTTCTGTTTGAAATTGAGCAATTTAATAGAAAATTTAACTGATAAAGAAAAACCTCCCAATGGAAATATATCATTATATTGTGATTTGAATTAGGCCAATTTTAGCTGCAAATCCTCATAAATTCTACCTTTTTTTTTTAATTTTTTATTATTGTTCTTATTTGAAATCTTCCCAAACATAGGTTTTTAATTTTATTACTATTAGGGCACGCACAGGTTTGATTAGAAGAACGTTTTGGACCGTTTTGGACCAATTAGAAATTTCGAGTGGGTGAGCTTAAGCAACTATTAGATGAACACGACTCTCTACAATGGTATGATATTATCCACTTTGAGCATAAGTTCTCATAGCTTTGCTTTGGGCTTCCCAAAAGACCTTGTACTAATGGAGATAGTATTTCTTGATTATTAAAAGACCTCGTACTAATGTAGATAGTATTTCTTGATTATTAATAGATGTGGGACTTTCATCCAACCCCTCCAAAAAAAATTATTAATTATGCAACAAAACTGTTCATACCCGGCAATGCAAGGGAAGTCATCGATAAGATACTAAAAGTCGTGAATATTTTTGGAATTGGAATAGTCATTCCACTCATTTCATCATGATAAACAAGACATATTCGCCAAGAAAAAAAGTCCAACACCAATAAATCTATGAGAGATTATTTGTAAAATAGTTCCATTGAGTCCCGTGTCGCGTATAGAACAAATTTCTATGATTATGAAACCCATATGAAATACAGAGGAATAAGCTATTCTTTTTTATTTCAGAGATGTGTGACATTACTAATTAAGATCTTATAAAGTTCAATATAAAATATTTACCCGTCATAATGTGTCACTAATATCGATTACAAACGTTGAATATTATGAATCTTCTTGATAGTAGGGTATGCTTGGGTTGTAACCCTATGTTTTAGGTTGAGTAGTCCAGGTTGGTCGGGTTATTGAGTCATATAAACACTTTTATAATTTAACGAGTTTATGTACTCTCATTGCCTATACAAACAAATTAATATGTTCTTTTTTTTAGGAATGTGTAAGAGGGTCATATTTGCTAGTTAGTGGATTGAAATGCTAACAGTTTTGTCTCATTGTCGAGAACATAATCAAAACCATTTAATTGCATCCCTGCTTTTATTAAAAAAAACTTTGCTCTTCTTTTATCATTTGGAGGTATAGATTATGTAGTCGAATCAATGCACGTGGTTGTACGAAACTGGCAAACTGTTGAGGATTGTTAGGAGATGAGTCCTACACCGGCTAATTAAGTAGTTGATCATGGATTACAAACATCGACGACAGAGAGACCCAACTCCATTCCACCCTTAATTCCATTGACGTTTCTAAAGAAGACAACTCACCCACCTCCGATGATCAAACGACGGAGAAGTTCAACAAGCATTGATTGGAGGAGAAATTTGCAGAGTTGAACACAGGGATTTATGAATGTAGATCATGTGGGCATAAATTCGACGAGGCAGTCGGAAATCCGCCGTATCCAGTAGCACCGAGACTGTCGTTCGAACAGCTACCGGAGGACTGGCAGTGCCCGACGTGTGGGGCGGTGAAGAGTTTATAAAGTTTGAAGCTCGAACCCACAATTATAAAGTTCGAATCCACAAACTAAATTAATAAAAATATTACTATATTTTAAAAAGAATAAATTTAAGATTTAGATTAGTTTTCTATGGAAACGCTAGTATTTGTTTAAAAAAAGTACCCATTAACTTTTAAAATTAACATTACTATCCTTAATCTTAATAAAAAAATATATATAATTTTTAAAATGTTTTTAATATTAATGTCTACGTAGATTATTTCTCCCTTCAAGTTTTTTAAAATTTTTAAAAGTATTACTCATTTTTTTAAAGTTTATGAATATTTTTTTTTAGATCATCTCAGCTTTATTTTAATTATTTTAAAAAAAATTAAAATATTTTATTGAGAGGTATTTAAAAAATTAAATATTTTAGATTCTTTTTCATTTAAGGATATTTTTTATTTTTTTATTTAATTTAAGAATATTATTGAGAATTAGGAATATTTTAAAGATAATTTAGAGAATCGAATAATTTATTTTTTTTGTTTTTTTTTGTTTTTTTTTGTTTTTGTTTTTGTTTTTGTTTTTGTTTTTGTTTTTGTTTTTGTTTTATGCTATTTGTGAGCCTTTTCCCCTCGTAATACCCGCACGAGGACTGAAATCTCGACAAGGTACACCTTCGGCCCGGCATTTCTTCGCTGTGCTCTTCATCCGTTTGTGTGTAAAAATCGAGAAAAATCAAACCCCATTTGGCATTTCGTCTACCGGTGAGAGTTTCGAGCTCGATTACCTGTCATTTTCATATTATTTTCATCGGTTTCTATCCATTTTCATCAGTATTGTTGTTTTCGAGCAACTTCTGGGAATTGGATCATCATTTTACTGTGGAAATCATCAACATCTCGACTGTTTCTTGTGAAAAATCTCTCTCGGTTGGTTTTATTTCTGATGGATTTCTCTGTTTTCTGTTTTTATTATGGATTTCATATGTAATTTCCATGGTTTTTGGGTCAGATTTCTTGGATCACCTTGTTTTTCTGCTTTATATTTTCCTCAAACCTGTTTTGTTCTATGAATTTATGAATGGATTGGCTGGTTGAAAGAATCTCTGTTCGTTTTGGTATTTGGTTGAACTTTTTACTCATTTTTTAGGCTCTAAGACGAGTTTCTTCGTATTTATTGGAGTATGGTTTGTGTGATCTGATCGGAACATATCATATTAGGAAGATCAAGATCATTTCAATTGTGTTTTTATGTTATGTTCTCTGAATCTCAATTATTCAACAGTTTAGAGAAGTGGGGAGTTCATTTCTTTTAATTTTGTGCCAAGAACTGTAATGATACTGAAACATGTTGTTTGATTGAAATATATTTGCTTTGATTTGCTGATTTGTGATTATGTTTTCATCTGCAGGTTTGTTGCTCAAAATGGTTGATGCAAAATCTTCAATAGCTAAAGATGTTACTGAAGTAAGCCACTAGCCTTCCTTTCCCTCTTTTTTCTCCTGTGCATTGAATGATTGATTTAGCTTATCACCAAGAACTTCAACTCATTTCGTACATGTTTCATATCTTTAAATTTACAGCTGATCGGTAAAACACCGCTTGTATATCTCAACCGTGTTGTTGATGGCTGCGTGGCCCGGGTTGCTGCCAAGTTGGAGATGATGGAGCCCTGCTCCAGTGTCAAAGATAGGTAGTTTTTATTTTTAAATTATAATGATCCTAAATTTGGCCTTAAAACTTGAGTAGTGAGCATTTTCTTGCCACAAGTGAACATAGAAGCACCTTGTCGGCGTGTTCATTATTTACTCGTGTTCTTTATTATTTCCTTTCTTTTGGAAAACCATCTTTCATTAAGAAAATGAAAGAACACATCTATTTATTTACTTGTTCATATGCTTCTTGCTGTTTCTTTGTAATTGGATTTACACTTTTAGAATGTAATTCTGATAAATTTTGTTCATGCTGATATATATCATCAAGTTTCCTTCAAGTTCTACTTCCATTAGAATTTAGAATTTTCTGCAACTAGTTTGATGAGAAAAATCTTTCTTTCCTTTCAGGATTGGATATAGCATGATTTCAGATGCAGAGGAAAATGGTCTTATCACTCCGGGGAAGGTTAGCAATTTAGAATCGTCTTTTCGAAATCTAAACGAAACAGTGTTATATTTTTGTTGGTTTATTCACTTTTCTTTTTCATTTCATAGAGTGCCTTGATTGAACCTACCAGTGGTAATACTGGTATAGGCTTGGCTTTCATTGCTGCTGCCAAGGGTTACAAACTTATAATCACCATGCCTGCCTCAATGAGTCTCGAAAGAAGAATCATTCTTCGAGCTTTTGGAGCTGAACTGATTCTCACAGATCCAGCTCGAGGGATGAAAGGAGCCGTTCAGAAGGCCGAAGAAATAAAAGCAAAGACGCCAGATTCATACATCCTTCAGCAATTTGAAAACCCTGCTAACCCAAAGGTATCCTCGGAGTCGATTCAATGTGAAACATCATTTTATGTTTAAGAGATTTATGTAATATTTTCATGTTTTTTCAGATCCACTATGAGACTACTGGTCCAGAAATCTGGAGTGGTTCAGGTGGGAAGGTCGATGCACTCGTCTCTGGTATAGGGACCGGAGGTACAATAACCGGTGCAGGGAGGTATCTCAAAGAACAAAATCCTTCTATTAAGGTTTGTTATTTCTAATCATCCGAGCTCTTGCATTGCTGCTGTTATCTAAGACAACCGTTCACGGTTGCTGATGTGATTTCTTCCTTTTCGTGGTTAGTTATATGGTGTAGAACCAGTTGAAAGTGCAATTCTATCCGGAGGAAAGCCCGGTGAGTCATGGCATCCTTTCTCTTCCCCCGGAAAATGAAAATATATTTTTGGCGATATGATGTCTTGTTGGGCGATATGATATCTAGTGTGGTGTACAGAGTATATTGTTTGCAATTCATGAGGCCTATTGGAAATTCTGGATGAGCTTGTTTTGTTTTCTCACATTTTTTCTGATAAAGAAAACTTGTTTCAACTTTCAGGCCCACATAAAATCCAAGGAATAGGGGCAGGCTTCATCCCTGGAGTTTTGGATGTCCCTCTGCTGGATGAAGTTGTTCAAGTAAGGATCAAGCTTTTATTAGATTTCTTTCAATAGATATGGGAAGTGGGTGACTATCTTTGTAACGGCCCGAGCTCATCGCTAGTAGATATTGCCCTCTTTGGACTTTCCCTTTCGGTATTCCCCTGAAGGTTTCTCAAACGTGTCTGTTAGGGAGAGGTTTCCACACCCTTATAAGGAAAAAAACATTCCTTATAAGGGTGTGGAAACCTCTCTCTAGTAGACGCGTTTTAAAACCATGAGACTGATGACAATACGTAATGGGCCAAAGCAGACAATATTTGCTAGTTGTGGGCTTGGGCTTGGGCTGTTACAGATGGTATTAGAGCCAGACATCGAACGGTATGCTAGCGAGGACGTTGGGCCCCCAAAGGGTGGGGTGGATTGTGAGATTCCACACAAGAACGAAACATTCCTTATTAGGGTGTGAAACCTCTCCCTAGTAGACGCGTTTTAAAACCGTGAGACTGACGGCGTTACGTAACGGGCCAAAGCAGACAATATCTGCTAGCGGTGAGCTTGGTCCAATTATTGGTCTAACCATAAAGCATCTCTGACTTGAATAGTTTGCAGGTATCAAGTGAAGAAGCCATCGAAACTGCAAAGCAGCTTGCATTGAAAGAAGGTCTACTGGTAGGTTGCAACATAATGAAGATAAGGCATCAAAAAAACATTTTCCAATGCTATTTGATTCTCTTTTCATCACGATCATTCGAGCCAATTAGGCTCGAGATCTGATTGTCAACACTTTTGGTTCGGTATGCTATGCTATGATGTGATAATATCGTCTACATGTAGGTTGGTATATCATCCGGTGCTGCCGCGGCCGCTGCAATTAAGGTTGCAAAGAGACCAGAAAATGCTGGAAAGCTTATTGTTGTAAGCGTTCCTTTTCTTTCTCATGTAGTATACTTCCTTTGGCATTACAACACTGCTTTAGCTTGTTTACATACATCAATTCTTCTATGATAGATATTGATGTGCTGAAGAACAAAAAAAACTACATATGTTTTAACAATTGAAACAGCTTTTAAGGATTTTTTCAACAAAAAAACGAACAAGAGTGAGTCTAGGGAGCTCGGGAAACTTCAGCAATGGAAAATAGACTGACCGAGCGAATATAACATTGTACTTAGGAATGAGAATTTGAACCTATAACTTACGAGAAGTAAGAACGACTGTCTAACTAATCTTAGTTTTGGAAATTTGAACAGGTGATCTTCCCGAGCTTTGGGGAACGATACCTCTCAACCGTGTTGTTCGAGTCTGTGAAACAAGAGACCGAGAATATGGTTTTCGAGCCATGAGAGTTTACGCAATGTTTCGTTGCTTCAAATAGATGCCACTGAGAATAAGAACTGGCTTTTATGTATTGAATGAGTATAATTGATTTAGTTTTATGTGAGAAAATAAGAAATTAACTCGTAGGCTTTTGGAGAATTTCGAACCGATTTATTAACATCTTAGTCTATATACTTTCGATAAATTTTATTAGAACAAATTTGCAATAAAATATGCAAGAGAGTTCTTGGCTCGGGTTGTGTCGGGGTTAGACATTTTGTTAATCAACACGGGATCGAGTTTGAAAAAAGCATTTTGATTTAAATAATAAAAAATAAAATGATGATTTTTAAAGTAAAATAAAATCATAAAAATAAAATAATAAGAACATTATTTATTTATTTATTTTTTTTTTTTTTTGTCGTCGGTGTCATTCAGATTCAATATTTGTTCTCGAAAATCTTTATTTTTTCAGTTGAAGCTCACTCATGTCCCGTCCTTGATAGAGAGAACTAAACGGGTTTAATCCTTTGTAATGTCTCACATTGGTTCGATAAGAGAACAAAACACTTTTTATAAGGGTGTGAAAATCTTCCCGTAATAGATGTGTTTTAGAAAAGTCCAAAGATGACAATATCTGCTAGCGATGGATCTGGGCCATTATAAATGGTATTAGAGTCAGACATCGAACTATGTGTCAATGAGGAGGCTATTCCCCAAAGGAAGTAGACACGAGACAATGTGCTAGTAAGGACGCTGGGACCCAAAGGGGGGGGGGGGGGGGGGGG